GCGCTGTGGATCGCCGGATCGGCTTTCACCGTGGACGAAGCGGAGTCCAGCCCGGGGTCGTCACATGTGGTTGCCGCAAGCCCGCCAGACGCTCCTTCGTCGAATCCGTTTCTGTTTCCTGATCCTGGTAGAGTAGACTACAATGCCGGCTGTTCTGACTCAAAGACTGTAAGTACGTTTTTTTATATTTAAAGAGTTTTTATATTTTATATATTTAAAGCGAGTTTTTTGGGCAGTGTAGAGTAGGGCTTGTTGTTTGTCATTTCTCCGATCACAAATGCAGACATGGTTTTATGTTTACGCGGCGCGATGCAACGCGTAAAAAGACAGTATAAGTCATTATAATCTGTAATTATGTCCCCACTGGATCAACGAATGCCTCGTTTATAATTGGTTTTCATGTTTCGTCGCTCCAGGCTGGACAGGGCTTCACAGTATGTGAGGAGCGTAACATTTCCGTCACATGCTTGAGGTATTCGGCCAATAACAACGCACTGGATAGCTGGCCAATCAGAGCACACCTTGCTTTTCAGACCGATTGTCTCGTTGCTCCGGGAGACGGCATCACAGTATGGTAAGGGGTGTAACATTTCCGTCACACGCTTGAGCTTTTCGGCCAATCACAACGCACTGGATAGTTGGTTAATCAGAGCACACCTCGCTTTTCAGACCGATTAGTTTTGTAAAAATCGACGCGTTTCAGAAAGGCGGGGCATAGAGGAGATACAATAATGTACAGTATGTGGAAAATAATGTGTTTTTTTAACCTTAAACCGCATAAACACATTTCATTACACCAAATACACAAAATAATGTTCTTTTTAGCAGCATCATATGACCCCTTTAATTCAGTGAACATAAACTACCAATTAAAAATTCTTCTAACATTCATTAATCTTAGGTAATTCCAATATTTAATAACACGTTGTTAAAATCAAAAGATCTGACATGAACTAAGAGTTTAATTTTTTTTAAAAGATTAATAACTTATGTAGAAAATGTAGCTTTTGCTCATTGTGAATGTTAATGCATTATCTAAGGTTAACTAATGAGGTCTTATTGTAAAGTGATACCTATTGGTATTTATAGTTACTTTGCACTTTAATCTGTGTAACATTTTTAACTTTATACATTTTTCTGTATTAAAAAAAACTATCAGACACAGTATGTGACATTAGATTAACTGCAGCTATGACAGAAATGTCTGAGATGTTTTGATATATATATATATATATATGATCAAGCATCCCACACCTGAGATATGCAATATCTCTCTGATGTTTCCTCTTTTCCTCCCTTTTTCTTGTGTCAGCAGGAGCCAACTACACCCCAGAGACTCTTTTAAGGGCCACCTAGAATCACGGCACCTTTGGCTTTGTAAGTTTTTTTTATATATATATGATCACTCAGATGTTGGGCTGGGAATTGATACAGATTTCATAATTCCATTTGATTCACAAGCTCTTAATTCAGTTCTGATCTTGATTCAATTCAGTTTGATTCACAATTATTCTTATTCTCTTATTCTGATTCCATATTATTCCAGTATTTTGTGCACTTTATTTGCTGTACCAATATTTTAAATTGGCCTTTGAACTTAGCTTTATTGCATGGCAAAAAAAAAGTGTTACCTTGCCAAAGCACTGACAGAGCCCACTGATCTAATGGCGTTGTTGAGCGCTCCAAATGCAAACAAAAATGCAGCACTCTGATCTAGTGGCATACAGGCATCGTCAGATTGACAGTACTCTCGCCCAATAATGTTGGGGGGTCCAGTGGGGGCGGCAGTCATATTTCAGGGTGACCGTGCCACTCTTTATCACAACCCTGCTAAAAGTGCCAGTACGTGCACTCATTGGCGCCCCTTCAGCTGGTGGCGCCCTAGGCGACCGCCTACCTCGCCTATGCCTACGGCCCTGCTCGTTGTTATATAGTATGACGCAGTTATCGGCTGCGTGATGTTACGTGACGGTACTTATTCATCTGTGCTCAAGCTTGTGTCGCTCTACAGTGTTTATAGATAATGTTTAGGATGTTATAATATCTCATGTTGATAAATAATTTACATTTACATTTAGACATTTAGCAGACGCTTTTATCCAAAGCGACTTACAATTGGGGGATACATAAAGCGATTCTTCTTAAAAGAGGCAAACAGATACAGGAAGTGCTTGTAATACCAAGTTTTTAGACATTGTTCAAATAAGTACACGCTAGAAAGAGAAGGAATAGATAAAGAGAGAGAATTATTTTTTTTTGTTTGTTTGTTTTTTTTTATGATGATGAAGTCAAGTAGCTTCGAAAGAGATGAGTTTTCAGCTGTCGCTTGAAAATGGTCAGGGATTCAGCATTCCGGATAGGGGTGGGGAGATCGTAAATAATGGTAATCGTAAATAAATATTCGTAAATAATCGACTGGTAAATAATGCCAGTAAAATGTTAAAAGATGTTATTGTGAGTGACATAATGCTTGTCAGCTTGTGATTATATTATGTGTTTACATATTATTATGTCCATGTGAGGGGAGGAGTCAATAGTTTGTGTATTAAGGCTGTGATGATGTGCTTACTTATATTAGTGTGCTGCTTCTTGTCTGTTACAGATCAAACCACACCAAATACCAGCACAATTCATATGTTACACTCCCATCTGATCAAGACACAGCACAAACTCATCTAAAGTCAGGACATTACTCAATATCTGCGATGTACATGTGCCTCTCATGCCCCGCAACTCTATCAGTCACTGTTTAATCGCTCGCCACCACTCCTAAGGGCTTAAAACTGACTGTTCCTTTCTTGTTTCTTGGACTCATTTAACCCCTCTGGATTCAGCCTCTGGAGGACCGATTGACTCACTGTTGCTTCTTCCACCGTAGCTGGAAGCTGTTGCGCATTCAAGTGGGCATTGTTTAAGGTGCAAGTTTATGGTTGGCTCCCCCCTCTGATGTATATTTACCTACTTGTCAAATTAAACCAGTTCAAGTTTATCACTTCCCTCTCTGTCGTGTTCTGACAGTTTGAACGACCATAAAGTCACTCTTTAATGTGATTGTACATTCAGGCAATTAATGGAGTTCCCTGACAAGGATGTGCAAAAAAGCAATACTGTTTAAACAGTACTATACTGGGTATCTTTCAAGGTAGCCTTCGCTACACCTTGTCTGTCCATGAACAAATTTAGATGAGATAAACTCATGACCATTTCTCACACATTTCCCCTCTGTTTTGTTTCAGATCAGCTGTCAGTGGTTAAGGAGTCCATGCAGCCAAGTCCAACTGGGATGCTTGTTGCCATATTTCTTTTTGTTGCAATATTGTCATGATCTCTACTTTGATTTGTTGTTATGAATTCAGTTCTCTATTTTTTTTTGTAATGTTCCAGAATAAAGCACAAAAAATAAGTAAGTAATGGATGTATTTAATAGTGACCGTGAATAAAAAATATATACTTTTGTACATGGACTCGGGTCACTTATTTGGAATTTATTCAATTCAATGGCATTCATGTAAAATATTCAAATGTTTGATAAAATAATGTAAAATAAATTACAGTAAAATTACTGTAATATTATACTGTAAAACTAAGTTACAGTAAGGATATAAGGATATATTACTGTAAAATTAAGTTGCAGTAAGGGTATTTCGCTGTAAATTGAAATTGTGGTAAGGCTATCATACTGTAAAATGAAATTGCGGTAAGGCCATCATACTGTAAAATGAAATTGCGGTAAGGGCATTATACTGCAAAATGAACTTGTGATAAGCTACTGTAAAGGTTGCATTGAATTTATTTAATACACGAGTTTCACAATTTGAGTTGAATTACTGAAATAAATGAACTTTTCCACGACATTCTAATTTATTGAGATGCACCTGTATAGTATCCGTAAACGCAGATTGACTGTAGCACAAATCTGACTGAAATTCAATGATGTCTAGGCTGTAATGTAGCCTAATGTGATTGGTTATCAAGAAGACACAAGTGATCCAATTTGACCGTTACACTTTCTCCAATGGTAAATAATACAGACCCTCGTGTCTCCCAATAATAAGACCATCTCTGCCAGAGTCGTTTGCTCTCATAGCGCTTGCGGTACTTTGATGTCACACTTTGAACACACCTACTTACAGGACGTGCAATAGCGAGGGGGCGTTGATACTGTTTCCTATGCAATGACATTAACCAATCAGTGGCTGATTACTGAGAAGCCTTAAAGGACCCGCCCCTTAAAAATAGGTCATTTTAGAGAAGTGATCAGAATGAGGGTTGAAAATTCTGTGCAAAAAAACTTGATTAACATTATAAGGGAACTTTGTAAAGCATATAAAAATAATATTTAAAAAAATCCATGTCATGTCCACTTTAAGAGTATTTGAAGACAAATGATCTTTACTCACCATAGACAGAAACAATGAATGTTTTTGTTGACCGTTTTGCTCCAATTATCTTTACTCTATAAAGTCCAGCAAGTTGAGTTGTGATGTTTGTGATGGTCAGAGATCCAGTTTGATTGTCCAGCTTCAGTCTGTCTCTGAATCTCCCATCAGGACCATCATATGTGAAGATATGTTTCTCTTTATTGAATTTAGCTATGAGAGAGTCTTCAGACCCAAATATCCACAGTATGTCATCACCATCATGTATTGTAGTAAAATCAGAGTTTAGAGTGACAGAATCTCCCTCCAACACTGACACTGGCTGTATTTCATTTAACTCAGCATCAAACACACCTGAAAAACAGGAACAAGTTTTACATAGAGTAAAACTCTTGTTGGTTTACAAAGTCAGTTGTGATTTGTAAAGTTTAAATGTGAACTGAAGAACACTGAGGAAATGGATTACTAACAATATATTTATAACTTACCAATCAGACAGCACCAGCCCAAACAGATCCAAGCAAACATGTAAAACATTTTTTTCATTCAGTAAAAAGTCTGATCTAGTAAGACTATCCACCTAAAAGACTGTATAAAATGATTTAAACACAGGAGGATGATTGTGTGTCAATCCTCCCTCCTAGTTTGACCCTCCTAGTTCACATGTGCATGCGCACACACACTAAGCACATGTTATGCAGACAGTTACATATAAATGTTCTTCTGGCTCTTAAGACTTTAACTGTTCTTAATGACGGAATATTCTTCAGTTTCATCGTCTACCGCTGAAAACATTTGAATTATTATTGTGTTAAGAACATAGAAGTAGAGAAGTGGAATGCTATATAAATCTTCCTAAATTTAAGATGTAGGTTAAATCTTATTGATTTTAAAATGATTGAAATAATTCAATTCTTAAATGTTATGAATGACAAATCAAACAAAAAGTTAAAACCATCTACCATCTCACTTTATCAGTTTCATTTAGGTGTGACTAGCAGCTCAGCTGAGTTAAACTGAAACCTGCTGTGGTTTGAGTTCTTTAGAAATGTGGTTTGATCTGTTAGATGGACAGACATCTTTTGCACGTGTGGTTGGCATTCAGAGAAACTGTGTTTAGTTTGTAGGTAAAGAGCTTCTTCCTGTCCTGCTCTTCTGATCCTCACAGTCTGACTTCCTGTCTAGATAAAACTGCTGTATAGTGAAATAAAGTACTGAATCAGTCCATCAAAATGTTGTTAGAAAACAAGCAAACAAGTGACAGAGGTCAAGCAGGATTCATACCCATCACACGTCACATAGCCTGCACAAAATGACAGCTAATTATCTCACAACACTAAATTTAAATTGAACCTACAACACTCAGAAGATAAAAATATGACTGTTTACTCTTTACACATTATATCATGATGGAGAAGAAAAGTGTTTTTGACACAGAAGACGTCAGAAGAGAAAAATAGAAATGCAGCAATCATATTTTCATAGCTTACTTTATTGAAAGATATACAAACTCAAAGAAAGAACACAGCCCAAACTTGCACAATTAAACATTTTACAAACAAATTTAAAATGTTATTATGTAACAATTACATATGTTAATTGTGACATTTCTGTATAATTTCTGTTCTTTTTTTTTTTTATTAATTTGTAGTGCTGTTTTATGTTGGTTTGTGTTTGAGATATTAAACATTCTTTTTTGACCGTGTGACGTCACTCTCCACCCCCATGTTACCCAAATCGCTCCAAATCAGTGCAGTTCATTTGTGCTGGTTTGTGCCGTTAAAACAAACGCTTTATTTCTCTTCCTTCCTTAGATATAACCAAAATGTTTACGGGAGCTGTGATGTCACTCCACCCCAGTTTGTCTAAATCGCACAAAACCAGTGTCATTTGTTTGTGCTAGATTAGTGCTGATTTGTGCCTTTAAAATGAACATCAAATATATTTCCCCTTCTTAGAAATAACAAGTAGAATTCGAGGCAGTGACGTCACTCTCCACCCCATGCCAATCTCTCCAAACCGGTGCCGTTCGTTTGTGCTCGATTTGTGCTGGTTTGTGCCGTTGCATCGTGGTCACTAGACAGATATTTGGAAGCCATTTTTAACCATTTAAGATGCAGCATCATGTCCCATCAACCAACTGGCGAACCCCCAAAGTGTTGTCTACGATTCCATTTAATTGTTGTCTTTTTATCTATTTTTTTGTTTTGTTTTGAGATATTGCATAATATATTCAAAATGGCGGCGGGAAAAGGGGATGCACCATGTTCCTCTGGAATAAGTGTTCAATACTTTTATTCTCAGAAAATCAGACAGGTACAAAAAATATTTTTCAGTTAAATAGGATGTCAGAAATATATTCATCCATATTTTAACAATATTTGTCCTGTAAATTTTTTTTCTGTGACAGAGAATATATCTGCCCACAGTGGACGTCATGCACCAAAGGGTATAATTCTGCACAGCAAAGTACAGAATAATTCTGCACTGCAAAGTAAAGTACAGTTGCAGTGAAAAGTTTGAATTGTACCAGAACTCACTCACTCACTCACTCACTCACTCACTCTCTCTATATATATACACCTGTTCAATTGCTTGGTAACACAAATTGCTAATCAGCCAATCACATGGCAACAACTGCATTTAGGCATCTAGATGTGTGACATCTTGTGCAACGTTAACATTTGGCCTTCATATAGTGAACATACACTCACCGGTCACTTTATTAGGTACACCTGTTCAATTGCTTGGTAACACAAATTGCTAATCAGCCAATCACATGGCAGCAACTCAATGCATTTAGGCATCTAGATGTGGTGAAGACGATTCAAACCGAGCATCAGAATGGGGAAGAAAGGGGATTTAAGTGACTTTGAACGTGGAATGGTTGTTGGTGCCAGACGGGCTGGTCTGAGAATTAAAAAAAACTGCTGATCTATTGGGATTTTCACGGACAACCATCTCTAGGGTTTACAGAGAATGGTCTGAAAAAGAGAAAATATCCAGTGAGCGGCAGTTGTGTGGACGAAAATGCCTTGTTGATGTCAGAGGTCAGAGGAGAATGGGCAGACTGGTCAGAGATGATAGAAAGGCAACAGTAACTCAAATAACCACTCGTTACAACCAAGGTATGCAGAATACCATCTCTGAACGCACAACACGTCGAACCCTGAAGCAGATGGGCTACAGCAGCAAAAGACCACACCGGGTGCCGCTCCTGTCAGCTAAGAACAGGAAACGGAGTCTACAATTCACACAGGCTCACCGAAATTGGACAATAGAAGATTGGAAAAACGTTGCCTGGTCTGATGAGTCTCGATTTCTGCCGTGACATTCAGATGGTAGCGTCAGAATTTGGCGCAAAGAACATGAAACAGAATATTACATTCTGCATGATAAAATATAAAGATTTCACAGTGATCTCATTCTGTAAGGTTTTTTAGTTACTAACTTAAAACCATGTTTTGCTTAGTTTATACACGTGAAGACGAGCGGAGAGTATAGAATAGATTAACCTCTTAAGACCCAGCAAAACATTTTAGGAAAAAAATAGTATTTTTTCATGTCATTACATTGTTTAGAGCATTAAAAAAATACAGAATCACAGAAGTAAAAAGAAAGGGAGGAAGGAATTTCAGTTACACAAACACGTTGTTATGTCCTCCCCTTGTCTAGGGTAAATAGGGAACGACAGGGGCGATTCCAGGATTTTCATTTTAGGGGGGCTCAGCCCCCAATGAGGTTATAATACAGTGGCGTTCCGTCCATAGCTGCGAATGCTCTGCATACCCAGGCCATTTGAGAGAATAAGTTCACGGTATAATTCATATAAACATGATTATAAGTTGATCCCTTGTCATTTGAAATGTAACTTAAAGCTTAAAGAGTTACACTGTAGAAAAGAACTACAGTAATTTACTGGCAGCAAGTGACAAGTAACTTACTGTAGAAAAGAACTACAGTAATTAACTGGCAGCTAGTGACAAGTAACTTACTGTAGAAGAAATAACCATATTTTCGCTGTTTTCATTTACAGTAGCAATCATGTAACTGTAAAGTAAAATTCACTAATTTGCAAGTGCAACCTTTTTTTTTTGTTGCCTTTTTGTGCTTATTATACAGGATAGTGTAGCGATTGGTGGGGAATGTGATCGGCAAAGGACCTTAAGCCAGGAATCAAACACGGGTCGCCAGAGACATACAGTAGTTGCACTATATGGCGCTAACCACTAGACTATCGGTACCGACAGGTTCTGTTGATGTTTAGTTATATTGGGTCAGCCCAAATAAAAAAAATAACAATGAATATGAAATAAATAATGCATGTTGCATTATTTAAATATAAATATTCATTTATCAACAGTCACAGTTAACTGCTCAACAAGCTTCATTAATCATTCTTCACTTATTGCTAGATGTGTTGAAAACAATAAAATCTTGATGACCTGCTGATCATTTTTTAATTTTAATTTTTATTAAAGAAAACATTTGCTTCCTGTATTCTCTAGTCAAACCTAAAATGTAATTGAATTACAGTGAGGTCAAATTAAATGCAGTCATTGGCTGGAAACCCAGCTGCCAGTGTAGGCTACTATGTTTTCCTTCTCTATCCCAGTGTCTATTCAAACCTAAAATGTAATTGAATTACAGTGAGGTCAAATTAAATGCAGTCATTGGCTGGAAACCCAGCTGCCAGTGTAGGCTACTGTGTTTTCCTTCTCTATCCCAGTGGCTGGGTTTCAGAAAACCCTAGTGTATTGCAGTACGGTGAAATCACGTTCTGGGGGGTGAATTTATGATTATGATACTAAAGTTAAAATAATATGATAATACTTAAAAGTTTGTATGAAGTAGTATAATGGGCTGTTTTTGTACAGGTGAAATAACTGGAAGCAAAAGACAAACACATTCAAGTTAGTTGCAAATAGTCGCGCCCACTCTCTTGTGAAAACTAAGCTGGATATAAAAGGTTACTGTGGTTTTTTTTACAGCACATTGTTGGTTACTGTAATTTTCTACAGTACATAATTAGTTATTGTGTTTTCTACAATTCATTGGAAGTTACTGTGATTTTCTACAGTACATAATTAGTTATTGTGTTTTCTACAATACATTGGAAGTTACTGTGATTTTCTGCAAGACATTGCTGGTTACTGTGACATTCACAGTACTTCTTACATTACTGCAATTTTGACTGAAACTACGGTATTCTGCTGTGAACTAGTATACAGTAATTTCCTGTGCACAAATACAGTAAATTCCTGTAGATTTCACATGAATTTTTTACAGTGTAGGAATAAGTACGTTCAGAGTCAGACTGACTATCACTGTATTTATTTTCAAGGCATTTTACTGTATAGTTTTGGAGAAAACTAAAAGCAAAATCACCCCAAACATCAAAATCCATTGTTGCACTTGGATTATTTCCGCATATTCAAACATTCATAAAAAGTGTCCCTTTATAGGTTAGCTCATTCTTTCAATTGATATGTATTCAGAGTGAGCCTGACTTTCACTGTCTTCCTTTCCAAGGCATGTTACTGTATAGTTTTGGAGAAAACTAAAAGCAAAATCACCCCAAACACCATTGTTGCACTTGGATTATTTCCGTATATTCAAAAACTCATAAAAAGTGTTCCTTTATAGTTTAGCTCATTCTTTTAATTTATATGTATTCAGAGTGACCCTGACTATCACTGTCTTCATTTTCATGGCATTTTACTGTATAGTTTTGGAGAACACAAAAAGCAAATTCACCCCAAACAACAAAATGCGTCCTAGCACTTGCACTGTGTCCCATATTCCAACACTCATAAAAAAGTGTTCCTTTATAGGTTAGCTCATTCTTTTAATTAATATGTATTCAGAGTGACCCAGACTATCACTGTATTAATATTCAAATATTTTTACTGTATAGTTTTGGAGAAAATTAAAGGCAAATTCACCCCAAGTGTCTCAAGTGCATAAGCACTTTTACATTATGTCCTATATTCAAACACTCATAAAAATCTTTCCTTTATATGTTTGCTCATTCTTTCAATTGATTCCTGTTCACAGTGACCCTGACTATTACTTTATTAATTTTCAAATATTTTTACTCTGTGGTTTCGGAGAAATTTAATGGCAAATTCACTCCAAAAAACAAAGTGCATTCTAGCAGTTGCACCATTGCCCATTTTCAAACACTCATAAAAATATTTCCTTTATAGGTTTGCTCATTCTTTCAATTGATTCCTGTTCACAGTGATCCTGATTAATATTGTGTTCATTTTCAAATATTTTTACTGTATAGTTTGGGAGAAAATTAATGGCAAATTCACCCCAAGCATCTATGTGCACCTTTGCACTTTTACATCACGTCCCATTTTCAAACACACATAAAAATATTTCCTTTATAGGTTGGCTCGTTCTTTGAATTGATTCCTGTTCACAGTGTCCCTGACTATTACTGTATTAATTATCAAATAATAATAATAAGTAATTAAGAGCACAAAAATAAGTCTAGAAAGTTCTATTTCATGACATTTAAAATACGACCTGGCTAAACCTTATCTTTTGAGTTCAAAAACACATAGTAAGTATTATATAACAAACATTATTTGCTATTATTATTATTAGTCTATTATTATTTCAGTGTGAATTGTAGAAAACAGTCATGTTCATGTTTTGATGGGAAAAAATTGTTGGTTTCCTTTCCTTTATTTTTATTTTTATTTGTTTTTTGTTGTACAGAAAGCTTGTAACCAATTATAGTCCTCATGTCTCTGCAGAACTCCTTGGTGTCATTCTGCCACAGCCTCTGCTGCAGCTTACTCCTATTATAATTTAATGATAATAATAATGCATTTTATTAGGCACCTTTCAAGACTCAATGACACCTTAAAATAACAGTAGGCTATTAATTGATTGACTGCAATACAACCTAATGGAATTTAAACAAGAGTTTTATTAAGACTAAAATACAGAAATAAGTTGTGATAGGGATTATGTAACCTGTGTTATGACATTTCACAGATACAAATGCAAATATGTAATTTTTTATGCAATTAAACAAAAGCCTAATATGAGAAGATGATTTTAGGTATATGCTTCAGTGTGCAGAAGACAGTCAATAAATGTTCACAGGTGTTGAAGCCACAGTAGGCACTGTTGTGCAGTCTGATGGGATGTACAACAGCATGCCCAAAGTGCTGTTATTTCTTAAGATGCACAAAGTTGTTTTCTGAAATAAGAAAGGCAAAATAAATAAATGTATAATATATATAAAAGTACATAAAATACGATAAAATAAAGTTAAGTAAAATTAAAATAAAAGTGTGATCATTTTCAAATAACGGCACTGATACTATATTATTTTTCTTTTCTTTGTGTTGTCAACTGTCCTTACCTGATCAGTGTCTTGTTGAATCTGGATTTTAATTTAGATAGATCATTTTAAAATTCATCTCAATACAATTGTAATTGATCAGTTACAGGTAAGGACAAAC